AAAAAAAAAAAAAAAAAAAAGAAGAAGAAGAGAATAAAAATCACCTCCCAGGCTGAGCAAGGTGGCTCACACCTGCAATCCCAGCACTTTGGGAAGCTGAGGTGGGTGGATTGCCTGAGTTCAGGAGTTTGAGACCAGCCTGGGCAATGTGGTAAAACCCTGACCCTACGAAAAATACAAAAATCAGCCATGCATGGTGGCACACACCTGTAGTCCCAGTTACTCCGGACGCTGAGGTGAGAGCATCTTCTGAGCCCAGGGAGGTTGAGGCTGCAGTGAGCTGAGAGTGCACCACTGCATGCCAGCCTGGGTGACAGAGTGAGACCCTGTCTCAAAAAAAAAAAAATCACCTCCCAGACATACTTTACTTATGATTGGTTATAGACCACATATCATTATTCATTTTGTCAACTATTAACACAGTTTTCATGCTTTTTGCAGCACTATAATTTACTTCCATGAATCTGTTAAACACATTGTCAGCACAACTCACCTTCCCAAGAGAAATTTTAATTGTTGCTTCTTCTCACTCCGTCTTAACTTTCCTGATTAATCCACTATAGCTTTTTTTTTTTGAGACAGAGTTTTGCTCTTGTTGCCCAGGATGGAGTGCAATGGCACAATCTCAGCTCACCACAACCTCCGCCTCCTGGGTTCAAGCGATTCTCCTGCCTCAGCCTCCTGAGTAGCTGGGATTACAGGAGCCCACCACCACGCCCGGCTAATTTTGTATTTTTAGTAGAGACAGGGTTTCTCCATGTTGGTCAGACTGGTCTCAAATTCCCGATATCAGGTGATCCGCCCGCCTCAGCCTCCCAAAGTGCTGGGATTACAGGTATGAGCCACCGTGCCCAGCCTTTTTTTTTTTTTTTTTTTGAGACAGGGTCTCTGTCATCCAGGCTGGAATACAGTCGTGCAAATATGGCTCACTGTAGCCTTGATCTCTTGGGTTTAAGCAATCCTCCCACCGCAGCCTCCTGAGTAGCTGGGACTACAGGCACACACCACCATCATGCCTGGCTAATTTTTAAATTTTTTATAGCGATAGGGTCTCACTCTGTTGCCTTGGCTGGTCTCAAACTCTGAGGTTCAAGTGATCCTCCTGCCTTGGCCTCCTAGATTGCTGAGATTACAGGCACAAGCCATTGTGCCTGGCCCACTACAGCTTCTTGACTTCTTGATTATCTATACATTCTGTGTCTGTCACAGCCCAGGACTTTGCTTACCCAGATGGCATTTTTGTCAGGACTTCTCAACTATGTTCCTGTCCCTGCCTGCTACCTAGCTGCTCCCTGCAGTTCTCAACTTCCTTGACAGGAAAACTGAAGAGTTTTATGATCACCTTAATTCAGAATAACTCAACCAGTAAGTCCAAACAATGTTGCTACCCCACCCTCTTTGATTCTCTGCATTTTCTGGCAAGCCCCCAATGTTTGATTGCCTCCATTGATTCCAGCTATATGCCAAGTGTGGTCAAACTGATATTTCCTACAGATATAGGTAATTACAATGGTGAGGGGATGAAGTAATGGGAAATGCAAGGGTGTCCTTTAAGTATTAAATCTACCTTAATATAGAGCTTGGGGCCTGGAGCTAAGTAATTATCATATGCCTGGCATTTTCATTGCATGTGTCAGTTTACAAAGCTTTTTCAGACACATCATCATCACAGCAATCTAGATGCTATTGTTTGCCTACCCAACAACCCTCCCTGCAGCTTCCTCCTCGCTGAGAGAATGCCTATTTTGTTCAGTACCCACCCTCCATCCAACAGTCATATACTACAGGTGAGTTGTAGGTCATCCTCCTCCCACCTCCAGCAGCTTTAAGATTGCTTTCCTTTGATGCCTGGGAAAGTGATATAAGTATGGCCAAAAGGAGTGAAAGAAAGTCTGCTGTGAGGGGTTCTAGAATAAGCTTCCTTGCCAAAAAATAAATAAATAAAGCAGGCTGGGCACCATGGCTCACCCCTGTAATCCCAGCACTTTGGGAGGCTGAGGCGGGCAGATCATGAGGTCAGCCTGACCAACGTGGTGAAACACTGTCTCTACTAAAAATACAAAAATTAGCTGGGCGTGGTGGCGCATGCCTGTATTTCCAGCTACTCGGGAGGCTGAGGCAGGAGAATCGCTTGAATCCGGGAGGCGGAGATTGCAGTGAGCTGAGATCCTGCCACTGCACTTCAGCTTGTGTGACAGAGCAAGACTTGGGGGTGGGAGGAGCAAAACAACACCCAATGACAAGATAACCTCTTTTTTGGCTACGGAGATTGCCCTGTTGGATGTAACCATCCACACATCCCATCCTGGTACCACTAATGTCTTAAGAATGAGGTAAGACTGTTTCAGGTTGAAGACATTATTAGGAATGGCAGAACGGGCATATAAAAGTAAATGATATTCTTTGTATTATCCTCGATCTGTTTTTCATACTACACCAAAGCCCCTACCTCTGGACTTCTAACTATGCATTTGTAAGCCCAGAGGGTTCTGATTCCATTAAAATTTGAGGGATACTGACTTCTTTTTTTGAGACGGAGTCTCGCTCTGCCGCCCAGGCTGGAGTGCAGTGGCGTGATCTCAGCTCACTGCACGCTCCGGACCATTCTCCTGCCTCAGGCTCCCGAGTGGCTGGGACTACAGGCGCCCGCCACCTCGCCTGGCTAGTTTTTTGTATTTTTTAGTAGAGATGGGGTTTCACTATGTTAGCCAGGATGGTCTGGATCTCCTGACCTCGTGATCCGCCATCCCGGCCTCCCAAAGTGCTGGGATTACAGGCTTGAGCCACCGCGCCCGGCCGAGATACTGACTTCTAAATCCACAACTATGAACTTTCTCCACCCTTTCTAGCTAAGTAGCCTTAGGCAAATTACTTAACTTTTATGGAATCTACTTCTTTATTTGTAAAAAGGGAAATAATATCCACTTTAAGCTCTTATTGTGAGAATGTATGGTTAAGAAGATTTGATGGAGCTGAGGGCGGTGGCTCATGCCTGTAATCCCAGCACTTTGAGAGGCAGAGGCGGGCAGATCACCCGAGGTTAGGAGTTCGAGACCAGCCTGGCCAACATGGTGAAACCCCCATCTCTACTAAAAATAAATAAATAAATAAAAATTAGCCGGGCATGTTGGTGCATGCCTGTAGTCCCAGCTACTTGGGAGGCTGAGGCAGGAGAATCGCTTGAACCTGGGAGGCAGAGGTTGCAGTGAGCCGAGATTGTGCCACTGCACTCCAGCCGGAGCCACAGAGCGAGACTATCTCCAAAAAAAAAAAAAGAAGAAGAAGAAGAAGATTGGATGGAAGACAATTTGGAAAGTGTTGTAAGGTCCACAAACTCTACTCACAAAGTCTCCCAAACTTGCCTGCTGATAGGAATGGACACACTGGTTACATAAGCTAATCCCAGGTGCCCTATCCCTGGAAATTCTGATTCAGTGCTTCCCAATGGACCCTGGGAGTCTGCCCTTTTAAAAACACATTCTAGGCTCCAGGTAAGTGTGGTGATTAGGCAAGTTTCAATTTAGCAAAGGAATACAGGATGCTGTACTCCTGTCCAGCAGGACTCAGATTTCTGGTTTCTGATTCTAGATCTGATACTATTCCACTTGGGCAAGCAGTTGCACCTTTCTGAACCTGTTTACTCATCTGTATACCTGTTCAATATAACCTACAGGTAGGTCTATGATGGACCGAAGGCAAATTATATTTGGGATGAAGGGGCTCCTGATCTTATGTTGTAATGTGGATTAATTAGACATAATAATAAGCAAAATTGGGATTGAAGAGGGTGTTGGCAGATCATCATTTTGGCTGAGGACATGAGAAACACACCGGGAATGCTTTGTGGTAAAATTAACTGAATATTAATTGTAGGACTGTGCGTTGTCTATCCTGCTACCTAGAGCCACTGAGCTTTGCAGTCCTCTCAGGACTGTGGCTTACCTTGAGGTGGTCACGCTCAACTACTCTGGTCACACTGAGACTGTGAAAACGCCGAGAAAAGTTAAAAACATACGTGTTGAGGGAGAGGGGATTTGGATGAGGGACCTAAATTCGATGTTGAAGCCTGTGGTTCTTACTGGCGAACACTTTCAGTAATGTCTGTGCATGCAACAGAAACATTTCTCTTGGCATTAAAAAAAAAAGAAGAAAGGATGTATTTCGTTAGCTTCAGGTGGCATTCACGAAGTGGGTAGAGCCAGAACATCTCCTAACTGGGGAGTTTCGGGGCCTTTCGGGCACACAGACGGCCTGACCTGGTCGTGGGCGTAAATTAAGCTTTCCCAGCGCTTAACTTTCCGATTTTCAGCTTACGCTTGGCTGCAGCTGCCCAGAATCCGCGCAGAAGCAGGGGTTCCGCCGACAAACGTGAACGTAGAGAACGTAGAAGCCTTTTAACGCTAACAGGCAGTTTCTCTGCATGGTTGTTGTGCATTATTAATCTAGGTATTGCGTATTTAGTTTAGGAAACACGAATGCTCATGATAAATGAGGTAAAATGAATTGTCAGCGGGACCCCAGCTGCTCCCTCGACCCGCCACTCCTCCCGGCTCAGGCAAGTCCAGCCCACCAGGAGGTGCGTCCCTCCGCGTTTGAGTTGCTTCGGCACCCGTAGTTGTGAACTTTGACAGCGGCCGGTCCCCGGAAGTTGGACGCATGCGCCGTTTCTCTGCATGGTGTGTGTTCTTATCCTAGCTGCGGCTGCAGGAGCTGTGGCGGCTCTCCTAATCCTGCGAATATGGGTAGTGCTTCGTTCCAGGGACTTTACGCCCCGGGAGTCTCTCAGTATCTTGGTGGTGGCTGGGTCCGGTAAGTATCGAGGAAGCGACTGTGGGACTTGGGTTGGTCACTACAAACCCCAGAGTGCACCGCGACCTTCTTCCCTGGTACCCTTAACACTTCTTGGAGTGTTGCATGCAGAGATTTGTAGTTTCTCTGCCTTGCCGGAACTGGTCAGTCTAGCCTGGGTAAGGGCTAGTTTGCTGACGCGGCCCAGAGGTCCTTTATGACAAGTAATTTACACTTGTCTGTAATTAAGACTCTCTGTAGCGTATATTTTTCAAACAAATAATTAGTGAACAGAGAGAACGTAGAAGCCTTTTGATGCTAACTTGCAGTTTCCCCGTATGGCTGTTGTGCATTATTAATGTAGGTATTGCGTATTTAGTTTAGGAAACACGAATGCTACATGACAAATGAGGCAAAATGAATTGTCACATTTATAAATATACAAAGTCCAAGAGGATAAAAACAATGATCTACGGACTATAGAGCAATACACACCGAGTGGCAGAGTGTGAGCAACCCACTGACCTGTCAGGTAATACAATCTAAATACACCAATTGTGTAGGTGCTTACAATTTTAAGTAGACATATTTGACAGGGACAGACAGACAGACAGACAGACACACACACACACAATGTAAACATTTGGGGATGGCAGGAGATTGCATCCAGATAGAACATGTATAGTATGAGCAAATGTACTAAGTTTATGTTCGAGTATAATACATTACTTTATTCACTTAATCTGTTTTGAGCTGTTAGAGAGGCCAAACACTAAACTAACCTCTGGAAATAACAAAACTGACTAACATTGCTTGCTACGGAGTGCTGACTCCGTGCTAAGTACTGTGAGAGATGCAAAGATACAGCAGTGAATGAAATAGAGAATACAAAAACAAACAAACAAAAAACAACCTAACAAAATAAATCAAAATGAGTATTTGCCACAATGAGGTAAATGCTATAATCTTGTAATGATTGTGTAAGAAGGACAAATTGCTATGGCAATCTTCAGGAAGGGCACTACTTTATCAGGTCTTAAAAAACAGGCAGCTTCCTGGAAGAAATAATGCTAAACCAAGACTTGAAAGATGACCAAGAATTAGTCAGATGAGGGAGAGCCAGGGTTTTGAGGGGTGGGACGATGTGAAAAGAAGATAATAGCACTTTGAATGGCCGGAGTTGAGAAGACACTGTCGTGTAGAGTTCACTGTGGGGAGGTAAACTGAGTCCAGATTATAAAGGGTATTTAAAATCTTGCCTTTTTTCTTTTCTATACAGAGTCTCACGCTGTTGCCCAGGCTGGAGGGCAGTGGCACAATCTCAGCTCACTGCAACTCCACCTCCCAGGTTCAAGCCATTCTCCTGCCTCAGCCTCCCGAATAGCTGGGATTACAGGTGTACCACCACACTCAGCTAATTTTTGTATTTTTAGTAGAGACAGTGTTTCACCATGTTGGCCAGGCTGGTCTTGAACTCCCGACCTCAAGTGATCCTCCTGCCTCAGCCTCCCAAAGTGCTGGGATTACAGGTGTGAACCACCACCCCGGCCCAAAATCCTGCTTTATAAAGCAATTGCTGCTACTCCACTGTTCCATATTGCCTAGGGGTTAAGACCACAGGCCTCTAGGTTGTCATAACACCACACATGAATCACATCTCTGCCACTTACTACTTTGGTGATCTTAGGCAATTAGTTAACCTCACTGAACCTTCTGTTTCTACATGGCTTGAGAGAGGACAGGAGAGATTAAATATGATCATATTTAAAGTGTTTAGGCTAGGCGTGGTGGTTCACACCTGTAATCTCAGCAATTTGAGAGGCTGAAACAGGTGGATTGCTTCAGCTCAGGAGTTGGAGACCAGCCTGGGCAACATTGTGAAATCCTATCTCAACACTAACATAAATAAATAAATTAGCTGGATGTGGTGGCATGCACCTATAGTCCTAGCTATTTGGGGGGCTGAGCTAGGAGGATCAGTTGAGCCTGGGAGATGGAGGTTGCAGTGAGCTGAGACTGCGCCTCTGCATTCCAGCCTGGTTGACAGAGTGAGACCCTGTCTCACAATGAAATAAAATAAAATGATATAATCAAAAGCTTAAATTAAAAAATCAGTGTTTATTAAAGTGCTTGACATATAGTGTCAACCTAAAATAATTGAAGGGCTCAATATCCAGTTAGAAGAGTTTATTCAAGCACAAAGCATGAGAGTGGCTGTCTGGGGAGCAAACCTATATCAAAGAATGGTGATCAGTGCTCCCCATGTGGGGAAGAATGAAGATAGTTTAGATAGACCAGAACAGAGATGCTGAACAAAATTACAACATTTTCCATAGAAAGGCTAACATACAGATACAAGATTTGGTTGGCTACTGTAAGGGCCGAGGAGAAACTTCCCTTTTGCCCTCTGAAGTTTCACTGAAAATCACTGACGAGGCAGAAATAATAGGAGAAAAGACACACATGTTTATGAAGCATATATGAAAGCGTTCTGAATGAAGACCCAAAGATGCGAGGGAAATGGTCTGCTTTTATGCTTAGGTTCAACAAAGTATGGACAGCCATGTAGAATTATGACTGGACAAAAGGGTCTAATTTAATGCTAATAGACAGTAGGGAAGCCCAGCAAGGCCTGTCTAGATTTTTCTTGGTCTCTCTGAGTATGCATTCTTTCCTTCTGGATATAGGGTAGGACCCTCTCTGGAATGGGGGTCTTATGACCTACCATCAAGCAAGGTAGGTCAGATAATTTATTTTTTTAAATTGAATTAATTTTTAAAATAGAGATGGTGTCTTGCTATGTGTACCAGACTGGTCTTGAATTCCTGGCCTCAAGCAATTCTCCTGCCTTCCAAAGTGCTGGGATCAAAGGTGTAGGCACCTCACCCAGCTCGGATAATTACTTTATTGCCAGTTTTTACACAGAAAGTTGGAGTAAAATTAGAGCAGTATTTTTAGGTTTTATGACTAGTTTTGGGGAGAAGGAGTTCTTGGTTTCTGTGACCCGCCCTGGGGAGAAAGATTCTAGTTTCTATGGCAAGCCTCAGGGGAGTATGGGAATTAGAGACAGAGGACAGGAGAAGACCAGAGAAAAAATTTTACTTCTGAGGCCTTCATTTTGGGATATTATTTTCTAAGTCCCAACACTACTATTGATTACACGTTAAGGGATTTGTTTAACATTCTGGTATAAGGAGGTAACAATCACAAAGGCCTCTATCTCCAATGTCATTTAATCTAGGTTTGAATAAAGACTAGGGAGTCTGGTTAATGTATAACATCTCAACACAAAGGTCAGGAAGCAGCAGTCATACACCAAAGAGAAAAAGCCATGTTACATGAGTCAGTTTCCAGGGCTTAGCTTTTCCCCTTGGCATAATAAATTTGGAAGATCTTGACATTTTCTTTTCTTTTTACGTAAGCAGTTAATAAATGGTTACTATATTAGTCTTGGTGGCAAAAGGAGCTTTTGAAGTTTTGTTTTGGTTTTTGTTTTTAAGACAGAGTCTTGTTATGTACCCAGGCTTGCCTGTAAATCCTGGAATCAAGTGATTCTGAGACAGACTCCCGAGTAGCTGGGACCACAGGCACGTGCCACCGCACCTGGCTTATCTTTTCCAATGGAGAGTCACCCACTTCCATCTGAGCGTTCACAAAGATTATTCAGCCTGCATTGTCAAAAGAACGTCTTGACAAAGACTGAAATAGAGAAACAAATAGGAGCCTTTTGAATATTTCTGATAACAGATAAAGATGGCCTGACTGGAGTGATAGGTGTGGGGCTGGAGAGAAGCAGTCGCATTCAGATGAGATTGGAAGATTTTAGGGGTTAAATCCACAACTGTGGATTGAAAGTAGAGGATGTGGGAGGGAAGGACTGAAGGGTGATTTCCAGGTTTCTGACTTGAACAAGATGTTAGGACCAATGACTTGATAGTGTTACATTTGGTGGACTAGAAACCAAAATTAAGGCTGATAATTCATCTGGCAAATGGTGCCTTCATTCAAATTATTGAGGGTAGGAAGGTATCAAGGGCCTGAAAGAACCATGCCAGTTAAAGAAAGACTTGTAATCAAATAAGCAGTTTAATAGTTCATGCCCAGAATTTTGGAGGAGGAAGAAGACATTTTCAATATTTACCTTGAAGATGAAGCAACATTTACTCTTTAGATATCGTAAAATATTATTAGGAGGCCAGGCACAGTGGCTCACGCTTGTAATCCCAGCAATTTGGGAGGCTGAAGCAGGTGAATCACCTGAGGTCAGGCGTTCAAGACCAGCCTGGCCAACATGGCAAAACCCCATCTCTACTAAGAAATACAAAAAAATTAGGTGGGCGTGGTGACAGATGCCTGTAATCCCAGCTACTCAGGAGGCTGAGGCAGGGGAATCGCTTGAACCCAGGAGGTGGAGGTTGCAGTGAGCTGAGATCGCACCACTGCACTCCAGCCTGGGCAACAAAACAAAAAACCCACCCAAAAAAAAAAAAAAAAAATTATTAGTAGACCACTTCTGTTCAGAGAACATTTGCCAAAACTACTTTTCTTTGAAACGCAATACAGCCTTCTTAGGCAAATGTTAGATTTAATATCAAACTTTCATTCAATCTTTCCTTCAATAGGACAGCCTGCTCTTTCTAGGAACAGGAGGTACAGCAGTAACAAAACAAATAAATCCCTGCCCTCATAGTACGGTGCTTGCCTTCTAGTGAGGCGTGGATAGAGGGAGATAAAAAGCAAAACAAATAAATAGACTACACAGTAAGTTATGTAGTGATAAACACTATGATTTGGGGAAGGGGGCATTGCTTTTATTTATTTTTTTTCTTGAGACGGAGTCTCATTCTGTCGCCCAGGCTGGAGTGCAGTGGCACAATCTCCGCTCACTGCAAGCTCCGTCTCCCAGGTTCACACCATTCTCCTGCCTCAGCCTCCCGAGTAGTTGGGACTACAGGTGCCCACCACCACGCCTGGCTAATTTTTTTGCATTTTTAGTAGAGACGGGGTTTCACCGTGTTAGCCAGGGTGGTCTCGATCTCCTAACCTCGTGATCCGCACGTCTCAGCCTCCCAAAGTGCTGGGATTACAGGCGTGAGCCACCGTGCCTGGCTGGGCATTGCTTTTTATGAAGATTGTCAGGGAAAGCCTCCTTGGGGAGATGACAGCCAACAGCAAGGAGGCTAGAGTGATTAGAGTAGACTTAGTAAGCAGGGAGGAACAGGAGATGAGCTCCAAGAGGGAACATAGTTGAGGTCAGAGTATAAGAAGCCTTTTAGTCCACATGAGACATGAAGCCACTGGAGGATTTTGAGCAGAAGTAAATAATTTGATCAACTCAAATAGGGTCACACTGGATGTTATGTTGCGATAGACTGAAGGGGAAGAGGGTCAGGGAACAGATCAGTAAGCTGTGTTCATAATCCATGTGAGAGGTGATAGTGGCCTGGAGCAGGGGGGTAACAAAAGAAATGGTGAGAAGTGATTGGATGCTGGATATATTTTAAGGTAGAACTTAGAGAATCTTATTCTCAAAAAAATGTATCTTAATCAAAGAGTAAAATGGAAGACAAAGTCCATCATTTTAATGACTTTATTCAGTAACAAGGTTAAATTTTCAGTGAATATACTGTCAACCTAAATAACAGAGAGATTCTCCAAAGATAGTAAGTATATTCAAGAGTAAGCATTGTAGTGTGGGATACACATGCTGAATAAACTATGGGCACAAAGAGGCAAGGGAAGACAGCGATTTTTAAAGCTAAAATGGGGAGGGTTATATAAGTTGTTTTGAAACAATTATCCTTGCTTACAGGGATCAATAATAAGGGTGGCATCAGTCCAAGGTTAGGCAGGCAGCGGCTAGGCAGATGTCCTTGCAGGAGTATTTTTTTGCATAAGGTTGCAGTGGCCTTTGTACAAGGTTGTGGTTTTGGCATAGTCTTTTGTGGTAGTTCTTGTGTTCAGGCGACTGAGCATTAAGAACCCTTCCTTCATGGCCTTTCCCAGCTCCATTTTGTCACAGTGACTCTATTTTTATCCTGACAACTTTCACAGTATTCAATGAGGGTTTCCTTAAAAAAGAAAACAAAAAAGAGAAAAAAAAAGACAAAGCAGGTATAATGAAGTTTTAATTGTAGTGGAAGATGCTGTGGATATTAGGTTTTATCCTTAATTATTCCAGCTATGAAAACAAGTACCTACTTGGAGTACCACCACCTTTTTTTTTCTTTTTTGAGACAGAGTCTCGCACTGTTGCCCAGGCTGGAGTGCGGTCTCAAGCAATTCTCCTGCCTCAGCCTCCCGAGTAGCTGAGATTACAGGCATGAGCCACTGTGTCTGGCCTGACTTTTTTGTTTTTTTCGAGGCTAAAACCAAAAATACTAAAAAGAGTATAAACCAGATGTGTAAACTATATGCCCCAGTCAAGAAGATGGGTGACAGGTTATGAAGCTAACGTATGATTTTAATTCCTGAAATTCACACTAAATCTATGCCAAATTTGTTTCTATATATAATTCCTCCTGGAATCGAGAATGAAATCCTTTCCTTTCTACTATTAAAAAAAAATGTGGGCCTGACGTGGTGGCTCACGCCCGTAATCCCAGCACTTTGGGAGGCGGGTGGGTGGATCACCTGAGGTCAGGAGTTCAAGACCAGTCTGACCAACATGGTGAAACCCTGTCTCTACTAAAAATGCAAAAATTAGCCAGGTGTGGTGGCGCACGCCTGTAATTGCAGCTACTCGGGAGGCTGAGGCAGGCTGAGGCAGGAGAATCGCCTGAACCTGGGAAGTGGAGGTTGCAGTGAGCCAAGATCGCAAATTTGTGCTGGGGGGAAACTCATGTTTAATTTATCTTTGTTTGTGTTCTTGTATCACTATATACTCTTTCTTACAACAATAAGGGAGATGGGGTGGGGGAAGCCTTCTAGGTATGGAGAGCAGCATGACCAGAGGCAAGGAGTGAGTAACAAATAAAATGAATGCAGAGAATGTTAAAGACATCCACCTGACTGAGGCACAGAGTTTGTGAGATGAGACTGAAATAGGTATGATAGGGCTCCTTGATAAGGAGTGTGACTGTTTTGCTTAGTTTATAGATAAGTAGATATTCTATTGTTTTCATGAAGGAAACCTCAATGAACATAGCTGATTTTTAAATTTACGCTTTTGTAATTAATGTATTAAAATTTTGGAGATTATATGACTTCAGAAACTGAACATTACTCATCTGGTGAAGCTGATAAATATTTGAGGAGCTGCATTGTGCTGAGACCTCTCATAGGAGCTGGGGTTACAGTGGTGGACAAAAAATGTTTCTTAGGAAGGCCCAAGCCCTGCTGGTCAGTGCTCATGCTCCCTTCACCTTATTTCTCTACATAGAACCTTCAGTGACTGGCTTTCCTTTTCCCATCCTGCTTTCATGACCTTATTTCACCTGTACCCTTCTTCCCAGTATTCCTACCACGCTTTGAACACATGTTTCAGATCTTGTCACCTCATGCCCTAACAATCCCCATCTCCACCCAGTGGCCTCCCTACTCCTATCTCTCCATTATCTTCACCTTTCAAGTCATCTCAGCCTTTTTCAGGGATCTTCCTTATTCTTTTTTTTTTTTTTTTTTTTTTTTGAGATGGAGTCTTGCTCTGTTACCCAGGCTGGAGTGCAGTGACATGATCTCGGCTCACTGCAAGCTCTGCCTTCCGGGTTCATGCCATTCTCCTGCCTCAGCCTCCCGAGTAGCTGGGACTACAGGCGCCCGCCATCACAGGGATCTTCCTTATTCTTAAGGCATTGATTTTTCGTAACCATTTGCTTACCCTCCACATTTTAGTTTTTCTTGCTGTCTTGGATCTTCTTTGTCTTCACATATGGGTCTTGCCCCTTTCTCAGCAGTCTTCTTGATAGCAAGAGCTATGTCTTATACTGTTCTGTGCCTTCCTTAGTACCTACTTCTAGTGCTTTTGATGTAAAAGTTGTATTTATACAAGTGCATAGATTTATTGTTTTCAAATGTTCTTGTGTCTTCTGAGAAATATACAATTACAGTGCCCCCCCCACCTGAAACGATGACATTGGTATAACATGGTCAAATAGATATGTCCGTTGTGGGTTTATTAATCTTAGGACTTCTGATATTTTTTCCAGGTGGGCATACCACCGAGATCCTGAGGCTGCTTGGGAGCTTGTCCAATGCCTACTCACCTAGACATTATGTCATTGCTGACACTGATGAAATGAGTGCCAATAAAATAAATTCTTTTGAACTAGATCGAGCTGATAGAGACCCTAGTAACATGGTAAGTGACAATTTCTATTTCTAAGAAAATTACAAGTTGTACATTGAGTTTAATCATCTTTAGAAATAATCTCACCACTCCTATTCAACATAGTATTGGAAGTTCTGGCCAGGGCAATCAGGAAAGAGAAAGAAATGAAGTGTATTCAGGTAGGGAGAGAGGAAGTAAAATTATCCTTGTTTGCAGATGACATGATCCTATATCTAGAAAATCCCATTGTCTCAGCCCAAAAGCTTCTTAAACTGATAGGCAACTTTAGCCAAGTCTCAGGATACAAAATCAATGTGCAAAATCACTAGCAGCATTCCTATACACCAACAACAGGCAAGCTGAGAACCAAATCATGAATGAACTCCCATTCACAGTCACTACAAAAAGAATAAAATACCTAGGAATACAGCTAACAAGGGAAGTGAAGGACCTCTTCAAGGAAAACTACAAACAACTGCTCAATGAAATCAGAGAGGACACAAACAAATGGAAATACATTCCATGCTTATGGTTAGGAACAATCAACGTCGTGAAAATGGCTATACTGCCAAAAGTAATTTATAGATTCAATGCTATTCCCATTAAACCACCATTTACGTTCTTAACAGAATTATAAGAAACTATTTAAAAATTCATGTGGAACCAAAAAGGAGTCCGAATAGCCAAGAGAGTCCTAAGCAAAAAGAACAAAGCTGGAGGCATCATACTACCTGACTTCAAACTATACTACAAGGCTGCAGTAACCAAAACACCATGATACTTGTACAAAAACAGACACAGGCCAATGGAATAGAGTAGAGAACTCAGAAATAAGACCACACGCTTACAACCATCTGATCTACAAACCTGACAAAAACGAGCAATGGGGAAAGGATTTTCTGTTTTGCAAGGAGTTGAACTGGCTAGCCATATGCAGAAAATTGAAACTGGATTCCTTCCCTACACTTTATACAAAAATTAAGGTAGATTAAAGACATAAGTGTAAAATCCAAAATTATAAAAAACCCTAGAAGAAAATCTAAGCAGTAGTATTCAGGACATAGGCATGGGCAAAGATTTTATGACGAAAATGCCAAAAGCAATTGCAACAAAAGTACATAGCAAAAGAAACTCATCAGAGTGAACAGCCAACCTACAGGATTGGAGAAAATTTTTGCAATATGTCCATCTCTCAAAGGTCTAATATACAGAGTCTACAAGGAACTTAAACAAATGTACAAGAAAAAAACAGTCTCATTAAGAAGTGGGCAAAGGACATGAACAGACACTTCTCAAAAGAAGACATTCATGCAGCTGACAAACATATGAAAGAAAGCTCAACATCACTGATCATTAGAGAAATGCAAATCAAAACGACAATGAGATACCATCTCACACCACTCAGAATGGCGATTATTAAAAAGTCCAGAAACGAGATGTTGGTGAGGTTGTGGAGAAAAAGGAATGCTTTTACACTATTGGTGACAATGTACATTAGTTCAACCGTTGTGGAAGATAGTATGGCGATTCCTCAGAAATCTAGAGGCAGAAATACCACTTGACCTAGCAATCCCATTACTGAGTTTTTACCCAAATGAATATAAATCATTCTATTTTAAAGATACATGCACACATATGTTCACTGCAGCACTGTTCACAATAGCAAAGACATGGAATCAACCCAAATGCCCTCAATGATAGAATGGATAAAGAAAATGTGGTACATACACACTATGGAATACTATGCAGCAATAAAAAGGAACAGGATCATGTCCTCTGCAGGGACATGGATAGAGCCGGAAGCCGTTATCCTCAGCAAACTAACGCGGGAACAGAAAACTAAATACTACACATTTTCACTTGTAAGTAGGAGCTGAACTATGAGAATACATGGATACATATCGGGGAACAACACACACTGGGGCCTGTTGAAGGGAGGGCTTGGAGGAGGTAGAGCATCAGGAAGAATAGCTAACGGATGCTGGGCTTAATACCTAGGTGATGGATTAATTTGTGCAGCAAACCACCATGGCACACGTTTACCTATTTAACAAACCTGCACATCCTGCACACATACCCTGGAACTTAAAAGTTGAAGGGGAAAAAATTGTTGCTTAATTTTCTGCGTATTTTTTATTCTTTTAAATAGAGAAAGTGGTTTTTCATTGAATTCCAATAGTGAAAATTATTTTATTTATACTTACATACATGAGGCAACCAGTTCATGTGCTTATTGGCTCTTCATTAAAACTCTCTTATCAGTGTGTTACATTTATGGATAATTTGATTTATCTATGACTGCTGTTTCTTCTCCAAATCATGTTTGTGTCTGCCCTTGAAATTATTAATACTTCTTTCTCCTGGTTGCTCACTTCATTTTACCGTTTTAGTCAGTGTTTAGAGATTTTTTTTAAAGTGAAACGGTTTCTTTATTAAGGAAGGAAACTAGAGCTGTTCCTTGTGTAGAGTCAGTGCCTTTATCCATCCCTCTCTCTGGGAATGGCCCAGCTGCAGGGCTGCTTTGGATAGTTCAGGGGTGGACAGCTGGCCTCACTCAGACCAGTTGAAGTCTTTCTCTGAGCTTTTTGGGCTTGGAGACCTAGAGAATGGAATCAGTCTGTCTTCAAGCAAGCTCTATAAATGATAAAGCTTGAAAGCTGCTGACAGTCATGTTTTCACTTAGAAGATAAAGGTAGTCTATAGATAGAAGAATGAAGATAATGAACAGGAAGAGAGGAGAAGCCAGTGTCTGGTGCTGTATTCAGTGGCTCAAGAGGCCCTGCTATAGCTGTGTTGGTCTTGGGTTGGTGGTTCTTTTCTTGGGAAGTCAGGATCTCCTGAACTCCTAGAACCCTACCCCACTCTCTTTGTTCCTACCTTTGCAACACACACACACACACACACACACACACACTCTTATGCCTGTTTGAGTTAACTTTTGGTCACTTGTAAACATTATCCCCAACTAATATACTACTAAAATATATTCTCAGAAAATCCATATCAAACAAGATCAGGATATAAATCTGCTTGCTATCATTCAGCTATAGCAAAATGTTTGGTACTTTTTTCCTCTGTGGAAAATAAGCCAAAATGATTTTGTTTTTGTTTAGGAATCAATACTGTATTCGTTTCTTAGGGTTGCTGTAACAAAATACCATAAACTGGGTGGCTTAAAACAATAGAAATGTATTTTCTCATAGTTCTGAAGGGTAGAAGTCTGAAATCAAGGTGTCATGGGGCCATACTCCCTCTGGAGGTTCTGAAGAAGAATCCTCCTTGCTTCCTCCTGGCTTCTAGTGGTCGCCAGTAATGCTTGGCCTTCCTTAGCTTGCAGCTACATCACTCTAATCTCGGCTTCCACCATCCTATGACCTTTTCTGTATCTCTGTCTTCACATGCCTTTTTTATGAGGATACCGGTTGGATTTAAGGCCCACTCTAATTCAGAAGGACCTCATTTTAACTTGATCATATCTGCAGTGATCTTATTTCTAAATAAGGTCACATTCATAGATTCCAGGTGGACATGAATTTTAGGGGGACAGTAGTTCACTGAATGTAAATATTTATATTGAACTATTTTAGGAAAGTCTCTTTTTTTTTTTTTTTTTTTTTTTTGAGATGGAGTCTAGCTCTTTTACCCAGCCTGGAGTGCATCATCACATTCTTGGCTCACTGCAACCTCCGCCTCCCAGGTTCAAGTGATTCTCCTGCCTCACCCTCTCGAGAGTAGCTGGGACTACAGGCATGTGCCACCACACCTGGCTAATTTTTGTATTTTAGTAGAGTTGGGGTTTCACCATGTTGGCCAAGCTGGTCTGGAAATCCTGACCTCAAGTGATCTGCCTGCCTTGGCCTCCCAACTGCTGAGATTCCAGGCGCGAGCCACTGCATCCAGCCAGGAAAGTCTCTTTGACATACAATGCAAAACAACAACCTTGCCCTTTTAGAAATTGTGAAAGTCTAGAAATAGCAGGTGATTTTTTTGTGAGTATAAAAGGAGAAAATAGAGAATATTGAGTATACTAGTAAGTGTTCCTTTCATTATTGTGAGACAGATAATAGTATCCTCATTTTACAAATGAGAAAAATCGAGGCTCAAAGGTGTAAATAACCAGAGTCCTGCCAAATATGTGTCACATACCTAGATGTTTCCTCCAAAGCCTTTGCTTCTCCTACATAACGACCCTGCTGCTTTTGTGTATTATTTTCCAATTCGAAAGACTTAGTATGAGAAGAATACCCTGGAAATTCTCATCTAAGGCGTCAGAGATTAAAAATGTGATTTAGTCTCTTATGTTAGGGTGTACTTGAGAAATGGTAAGAATTTGGAGAAAATGATGATGATTTTTCATATAATGTGAAAAGTCTAGTTTACCAGTGGTATAGAGCACTTAAAAATGTTCAAAGAGCAAAATAATCACAAAATTGTTACTGTGTTTTTCACCATAAGGAGCCAGGTATCTTTGGTTTGACCCAACTGCTAGTGTGCAAGTTGCTTCTGAAGTTGCATCTAATTTGGA